GCGATTGTTGAAATTAAGTGTATCGTAAAGTTATATTTCGGAAAGAATAAACCAGTTTTATTAAGTAAGGACTTGTGTCGCTAAAGTTTCGTCGGAACGAAGTTACAGAAAGTTAATTAACGAACGGAGACGTAACAGTACTAAAAGCAAATATGGTACTGTGATGGATGTGCAGATGATTAAAAAGAAACAAACATCATGATGTCTTTTTCAAACTACAGGTTATGTACTTTACCTTAGTCAATTCTTAAAATAACCTAAATAAACAGTGAAGATCTGAGAGGCAAGTAAAATGTCATGAAAATTATCCACATGAGCTGTGTGTATTAGTAGTTCATAATGGCGTAAATCATGTTTAACCTGATAGTTCGAAGCACCCTCAGAGCACGTAAGGCTCGGATAGTCCTGAAGATTCGTAGGACTCGGAAAATTGAAGCAGCTTGGAAGTTTCCCACACTCTCCAGCATCAAAGGCAATACCAACTCAAATACACTCAGCATTACAATAACAAAATCTGAGAAGGAAACAAGGTAATGAGATTCAACACTAAAACATGAGACAGTTGGATCACAAAATCCTTAGTGTTTTTGTGAATCCTAAAATTTATAATTTCTTAGAAGGTAGCTTAAATAGTTATCTCAAGTCTTTGATTATGTACTATAGATAGATGAATTGACTGCAAGCTTTTGAATTCAACTGATTCATATTACATTATTTTGTTACTGTCAGAAAGAAAAAATGTCTATTCTTTTGGTCTTTCACTTGCTCATGAAATGAAAGAACAAATTACACAGGAAATATACATATTATCATTTTTTAAATAAACTTGATCTAAAATCTGTAAAACACTTAAATTCTTCACAACTTAACTTTAACTTCATCATCAATTAAAATATCATAAAACAAAAACTATGAATTCAAATAAAAGTTGATAAAACAGCAATTACAACATCAAATAACTTCAATATCAAATAAAACCATGAGTCATACCCAACAAATTCCACCCACTATGGAAGTAGAATTTTCTCCAAACAAATATCTTGAGAATCATTTCAATTATGTAAAATGCTAAGAACATGCTATCCAAGACATTCAAATAGAACCCTGTAATAAACAAAAACATCATATCACAATCTGATTTATTTATAAGAGGATATAAAAAATTAAAGCTGTTGACAATTGCATTTTGGAAATAACATTTTAGAGTTTTAAGCATAATATTAATAAAAATTAACTATAACTTGCTATAAGTCCCAAGAGTCATATTCCTTTTGGGAAAGAGTGCAATGATATTAATATATAAAAACTATTTTACCAATGTGAAATAATAAACATTAAGCATTACTCTAAAGTTTGTATGTATATAAAATAAAGACCAGAAATAATAACCATGCTTAGCAGTTAGTGAAAAACCATGACAAATGAAAGAAACATGGAATGGGATAAAAATGTGTGTATGTATGTAATGTATATATATATATATATATATACCAAAATAATAAAAGGGCACAATATTGTACATAGCAGTTATTGAAAAATCACAGTAAATGAAACAAACATGAAATGAAAGATAACATGAGACTGAAGAGACACAAAAGTGTTGAAACTAGTTTCTCTGATATCAAGACATGTGACAGCTTGCTACATTTACTGTGGTTTGTAATAAAGTATGAGAATGATTATGACTTATGAGTGGGTGAATAGCACTGCTCTTCAACCCAAAAATATTTCTATTAACTCTTAAGGAAAAATGTAAATCAATGCCTTAGCTTACAGTTTTTTTAGCTTTTGAAAAAGTACACATTCTGTTCAAAGGTCTTAACTTAAAACCTTTTCAGCTCTTGTAAAAGCACAATTCTACACCAAGGTCTCCAACATTTACAGTTTCTTTCACTTTTGAAGAGACACATCTCTATTTCAAAGTGTTAACTTACAAACTTTTTAGTTCATGGAAAACCACAACTCTCTATTATAGTCTTAACTTACAACTTTTTGAACTCTTAGAAAAAGCACAACCCTATTTCAAGTGTGAATTTGCAGCCTTTTTAACTCTTGTACAATACTAAACTATATGAGATCTTAATTTAAAGCCTATTTAACTCTTAGAGAGGTACAACTCTAAGTCAGTAGCTTAACTTACAACATTATTTAGTTCTTAGAAATGCATAACTTTATATCAAGTCTTAACTTGCAGCCTTTTCAATAACTGGAAGTAAAAATTTTCCTACACTGAAAAGATATTTCCAAAAAATACATTATAGCTTTTCTCCTTCAGTGCTGCCCTCTATAGGTACAAATATTTCACTTGCCACTAGCCTAGATACTCTCCCCTACTTCAAGTGTTTAACATGGTACAGCCCGTGTTGTAGCATACAAATAAGCATGGACAACCCTCCACCAATAGGAATGTGACACACTCCTGTTGCAGCTGACTCCCTCTATACTGTAGGATCCAATCTTCACTTTGAGATTAGGCAAAAAAGAAGCACCAGAAGTGGAGAGGTAAAGTGGGAAATGTGAGAGAAGGCAAGTATCTATCGGAAATATATTTTCAGTGTAGGAAAATTTTAATTTCCGATATGATACCTTACCACCTCTCACATAATAGCTAGAATCCCATACTGACATGGTGGAGAAATCAGTGCCAAACTTACCTAGATGAGAATCCTTCGGAAAGCATCCAAAGAACATCCATAGAGTGAGATATCTCTTGGTAGAGGAACATACCTGTGTGAGACCACACCACTTCTAAACTAGGTATACTCTTCATCCATTGTAAAAATACTTGTCGTTAATTTGGGCAGAAAAGAAGCACATGAAATACTCAATTAGACGTGCAAAATTATGTAGAGTGGCTAGGGTGCATCAGACCATAATCCATAGGTCACCTCCAGTCCAAAACCAGACAGCATATGTTATATATTGTTCTGTCTGTGGTAGGAGGAGGGACCCTAGTATTTTCACCTCAGGATGAGGAAGCAGAAGGGGAAAAACAGGTTCCATTCTGCCATCCTAGTCAGGGCACATGTGTGCAGACCTAGAGCACAACCAGCACAAGGCCACCTGGGAACCCAACATCCGGGTGATGGTAGGAAAGGGGAATGCAACATGGTGGTTCACTCAAATCCAAAACCTAGTGGCATTAGGAATTTATCATCCAGTCTACAGAAGGACAAGAGCTCCCTACCAACTACATGTGTGAGGACTTATATTGGGTGGTCCAGCTCTAATTCAACACCACACCACCCAGGAACTGACATTCAAGCATTAGTAAGATCAGGAGTCCCAGCTGGAGTGGTGAACTGCATTTGGTAGATCATCTCCAGTCCATAACCAGGCAGCATCAGGTATTTTTCTTCTGGTCCATGGTAGGAGGAAGATTCATATCATCTATTCTGAAAAAACACTACCACCTACTCCCAAATGAATGAAATTGAGCACATGCAGCAAGATTCCTCCATGGTCCACCACTCCAGTGGTTAGGGCTGGTAAGCGGTAAGGACTCCCATACCCCACTCGAATAGGGGGCCAGGGAATAACAAGGCAGAGAGTCCTTAGGAATGCAACACTGGAGAAAGTGCAATGGATAGCCACAAAACCCCATTTTTAAAAGCAGGCCAGTACCCATTTAGTTAACAAAGATCGGAGAGCTGGGCAGATATCCTAACATTGCTTTACTCATGATAGTCCATGAGTTAGTACAGTCTAGGATGGGCACATATATGATGCAATATACTGTGAGGATGCACCTACTAGTGGTCCTGTGGAGCACCCCATTTCAACAATTGGCATTATAGACCTGAAAAGCCATACAGTGATGATTTATGTATTCCTATACATGGACAGACACCACTCATCACACAGTGGGATTCAGCATGTAAAACTGGGCCACTGTAAGGAAATAAATAAATATAAAAACACTTACCCACTCACATTTGAGCCGAGTTGTGGAGGATGGCAATGGGCAGTTTTCAGTATCCTGATGAGAAGGAGATGGTCACACGATGAAGTTAATGAAAGATGAAGGTGTGTGCTGTGGTCCACATGCCAGTCTGAATGATCTCCCCAGTTGGGGATAGAAGTGGGTAGACAAGAAGAGGGTGAGGTGTAAGGATACCAGAAAAATACATTGGGAGACAGGAGACAAGGAAATATAAGCCAACCCCATAAGATGGTAAATCCAACCCAGAAGAAAGATTGGAGAAATATCTTGGGTAGAGGAAGGGTACCATTGAATAAACGGTGAGAACGGGAATCACAAAATAAAAGCCATGCTGCAATATAGCCCTGGAGAGCATGAACTGGACAGAAAAGTCAACTAGGATTGGAGTGGGAATAGAAATAGGAAATGGAAGGGTAGGAAATAGTTATGAATGTGATATCACATTCTGGAGTCACAAACGTTCCAGGAAAACTGTGATTCAGATACAAAAGAAATATATGCAGTGAAAAAGGGTATGTGAAATGTTGAAGACTAGGATCTGGACTTTCCTGACAATCCAAAAATACCTAGAACTAGTCTTACCTTCCACCCAGCAGAACTCACAGATAAAGATGCATTGCTGGACATTTGGGATCTTGCTGAGACAGTTGTTAGGTTTGCTCTGATGTCTCTTGGGACTAGACCACACCACAGATTACCATTTCTTTACCTATCAAGCTGAGCTTCAACCACTGCTGCAAACTGCCACTACAACAGCAGTGAAAAAGGAGAAATGGCAAATGTCTTGGCATCAGGTGCCTCTCCTGAAATGTTCCTTTGGGGAGTGTGTAACAATAGTGAGGTGAAGGCACCAAATATGTGTCCACCTTCACTGAAACTATTAAATCTTGATGCTCAAAAGACCTTCCTGGAGTTACAATCATCTTAAGGAACAACCAAATTCTTGGGAAGTAGAAACCACTACCAACAATGATGGTGATTGTAATATTGTAATAGTGAACACTATCAGGGACCAGCCAGCTATTGTGACTTTGACAACTGTATCCACTCCACCAACTATGAGAGATATTGTTTAAATATTGCATGTTGTGCAATGATGTTGACAGCAGTCCTTTAGTGGTAGCCAAACTAATATCTAGAGTTTAGGCCTTATCTGTGTTTCAATGAGAAAGGCCAATCATGTGATAGCACTGTATCCAGTCTCTTTATTTCATCTCATGCCTCACTAAGAAATTTAGTATTTCTTCATGATCAATATCTTGATAAAATCTCCAGTTATTTAGACCAATCCAGTAGGTCAAAAGTTTACTTTGTTTTACTTGGATATACCACAAAGCCACACCTTCACATGAAGGTCTTAACTTCAGCCAACTCTTCAAAAAGCACAACTATTCATCTGGTCTTAACTCACAGCCTCTTCAACTCTTTGAAATTTAAAGCACAACTCTATATAATGGGTTTAATTTACAGCTTTTTAACATATGGAAAGGACTATTCTATATCAAAGTATTAACCTACAGCTTTTTAACTCTTGGAGAGGCACAAACTTATATATCAACAGCTTAACCTACAACCTTTTCAAGTTTTGTAGAAGCAAAATTCTATATCATCAGCTAATGGCAGTCATTGGAACTAATACACTCTAAATCGTGAATAGTAATCATATATTACTATCAGATTATTTCACCTGTGGTTATGATTCCATGTCAAAACAAAGAAAAAGAAACATTTATAATTGTAAACTACAAACCACTGAACATTTCATAAGTTGTGCGATTAAGTGGCTTAGTTGGTGTTATCAATCCAGCCAATGGTTGGTGCGGTTTAAATTTCATTAGACTTGTAAAAATCGGGTGTGGGCCGTCTCAACGATATATGTTTTTTGGCTACACTTAACATTGGCCTATAGGCCTAAGATCAATTCACTTTTTCACAACACTCCTTAACTTAAATCTTACATTAGCATTTACCTGCACGAACTTCAGCAACTTCGAATGTCTGCGCCATCAATAATGCAGTATTTAACAAAATAACTGAAAAAATGATCCCACTAAAAATCTTTGAGCTTTCAATTTCAAGCAAGACGCAACGTAACTGGCTCGATTCACTAAGAATATTTTTCTTCATTTCACGTATATGAATATCGTCGTCTTCTCTAGTGGCAATTTCCAACTCTTTGGTTACTTCTAAACGCCTACTGAGTTTATCCAGCACATCAATTGAAAGTTTTCTCGTTCGCAATGACATTTCGCGTTCACGCGGTCTTAGTTCGCTCCTCTTACTAAGAAGATTTTGGATATCTTGTCTTAATATTTCTTTTGCAGCACCTTTTCTTTTTGTAGGATAATCGATAGAGAGAGAACTTGGACTTATTAAGACTTTTTTCAGTTGGCCTGGGCCTACTTCTTTATCTTCACTGTCACTGTTAGTACTATCACTATCAGAAGGTAACGTAGACGTAGTACTATTACTAGTAACGTTAGTTTTACTCCTATCATTATCCATTTTCAAAGTTTATGAATTGAAAATATAGTAAATTTTAGGCATTCAACGTAAATTGTTTATGTTCGGTTTCAATCTAAAACCAGAAAAGATTAATCTGTAATTATTTAAAAACTTTAACCACTTTCATTGCATTTTGACTATGGTATAGCCTATTAACATACTTCCGCTTTTGTTTATACCGTTGGTATAGCAACTTCCTAAAGTTTACATGCAAATTTGATAAGCCCCCTGTGGCACAGCGGAATGTCTGCGGACTTATACCGCTAAAAACCGAGTTTCAATACCCATGGTGGGCAGAGCACAGGTAGCCCTTTGTGTAGCTTTGTGCTTGATAACAAACAACACCAACAACATTTGATAAATGGCAATGTTTTACGAATAGAAATCCACTGAATTGTAGTTTGATATTATTATATCACTAGCGTTATACTATTAGAGATATAGCCAGATTGCTCACTGGATACAGAAAAAAAAATCGAATGTGTTCCTTGTGCACATTTTTGCATGAGTGTCTTCGTTTCACACCCCTTCCCCCAAATGTTTTTATATATGCATTGTGTGTGAAACATATAATCAAGCCCCTTATTCGAGAATGTGTTGGCCTAATGTGGTGCATCTCTTTCTCCTTTTTTTTTCAATTTTTTTTTCTGGCTATGTACCTTAAACTAATGTTATTATCCTTTTCAACATATTGTTACTGTCTCTAGTTGTTTGTTAATATTCTGTAAAAAATTCTTTTCGAAGAAATTTTAGCGATACAAGTCCTTTCTTAAATAAAACTAGTTTATTTTCCCCTGGATACAACTTTGCAATACACTTAATTTCCACAGCTACATTAAACACACGCTATAATTCACAGTGATTCACGGATTTACTTAGGGTCACTACCGCGCTTGACTCAATTGTCCGTCTCTACTTGACTACGATACAATTCCGATTATGAATTCAAATTCGATGACGAGGAACCTACTTTGAGACTAATAGTGGCTGGAGACGGCTTGAATGGGTAATGAAGAAAAACTTTAATATAACAGCAAATGTACAACGTTTCGACAAGGTTTTGTCATCTGT